AAATGGTGCTCATTATTTTCTTGAAATCTGCTAGAAAAGGGAATTCCACACATTAAACAAGTTTCATGAACATCAAACATGTTAATGTTTTGTACATTATTCTCGGTAAGTTGACCAGTAAAGAATTTGTTGTTATCTCTTTACTGGTTTCTTCTTTACTTTCAACTGGCACAACTTCATCTTCCTAGATAAACTGCTATATCCATATGAAGCGATAAAAATACTTTTTCTCAATTTTAGGATGTGGATGAAACTGAGCAATAAAATATAAATACCAGCAGCAGTTGTGTAAATATATTTGAAGTATCTGAAATTTTAACTTATTTAACATAGAAGAAAAATCCTCAAATGATGCTATGTGGTCCTTTCTCAAATTCATTAAAAATATGCTTCTCCATCTTAGTTCTTTTTCCTCCCTGCTCATCCTCTGAGGGTTGGACTTTCAGATAATATTTTGGACAACCAGAAAAACTGCATGGGTAAGCATCGTTAGTTATTTAGGATGCCCTCTGGACATCTGAATAAAAGTGCCTTCGTTGTTGGTAAATAATCATAGCGAATAATATCATCTTTTCGAAAATGTTTTTCACACACAACGCTGCATCACTTGGAATAAAATTTCCTTGGAATTTTTTGATCCATAAATTCGTTTTACGTCCCTTTTTAAATTTGAATACTTATTCATGGTGAAATCGTAATTGGATTTGCATGCTGGAACGCAAATCGTGCAGGTATATGAAGAAGCTCTACATAGACTCGATCGTTATTCTTGTTAACAATAAGTTAACTAGTAATCTCAATTTAAAAACGAAAATATCCTTAAATTACTTAAATTTAGCAATAAAAAGACACACTAATAAAAATACAGCACGCAATCAACGTAATAAGAAGTCTTCGCTTGCAGTGTCCACACAATGCAGTGCGAAGGGTGAAAGTTCAGACGCCTTACGTGACGTCAAATCACGTGATTCTGCAGCTGACCAGGCCATCTAATCTCGGAAGGCCACGGTTCGTAGTGAGCAAACGCGCAGCCCACTCCCTGATCATGTTTTGATCCATCAGTGAACAGTTCCCTACCCCCGTCTCACACCTCAAGAAAACTCTGCGTAATATCTGTAAAGAAAACTGGCAAGAAAAATGGAATAGTGGCGACACAGGGAGAAGGACGTATAATTCCTACCAAGGTAGACACGGAACGTCTTAAACAATAGCCACACTGACACAGTACATAACGGGTCATGGCCATTTCCATCTTATTTACTCATCATAGCATCTCAGCATCTGACAATTGTGTCTGTGGGATGCTAGGTTCTCCCGAGCACTACCTATTTGACTGCGGTCTAACAACAAACCACCACTTACCACATCAACGAATGATTAGAACACTTTACTATCGTTTATAATCAAACCCCGCCAGCTATAAGGAGTATCTGCGCAGTTGTACAGCAAATCAACGCCCTAGGGCAAGACATTTGCGAGCCACAATAGCATGGTACTGCAGACAATGTACTCAACGATATTCGCAGTACGTACACATTCTGTAATACACATTCAATTTCGAACCTCATGTTAACATCTGCTTTCAATAGCCAGCAACTTGCAGAAATAATGTAACTGACATGTTTATCTGTGTAAAACACTGGGCACCCAATGGAATGATGTGTTATCGTAAATCGAAATATATAATATCCGTACAATGCACGAATGTAGTGTATGCAACGAAATATGTAAATCATGCAACAGATGCCCCTAATGAAAATATGTACATTATGTATTATGGGAACTGAGCATATTTCCGCGCAGCGCTACTGCTTTACGCACACCTTACTATGTCTCATATGTTCCCTTCTGTTGTAATATTTGCATTATTTTTCCTCTACGTGTTTTCCATATTGTATTCTATGTGTCATGATATGTATTCTCGTGTGTGTGTTTTAGTCTTTTGTTACGTAATTACGAGTGTGTTTTTATGCTTTTACTTTATTTTGTATATCTCTGTGTTTCAGCTTATATGAGTGTTTAGAGTGTTTTAATGCATTCTTTATATTCTTTTTAAGTTACTTTGTGTTATTAACACGTCCTATGTAAAAACTAGCCCTGTATGGCCATGTAAACTCCCGTCAGCCCTCATGGGGCTCCAGCGAGTTGCTTCTCGAGATAGTGGAGGACGTGGGACATATGCCTGTTTACTATGTATACGCCAGGCGTCCCCGTCCTCCGTCACCTGTCCCTGCCCACTGTAGTCTTTTTTCGTTGCTGAAAATTAAGAAGGCTTTTTTGTGGAATTCTACCTCTCCAGTCCAACACTTTAATCTTCTCTGATTGTCTTGAACTGACAGAAACACCAGCATCATTCAGATCACTTCTGCTGGCCGATGACATTTCTAACTTGGAGACATAGTCTTTTTATTCTTTTGTCATCAATAGATGTGGTGCACCTTTTTGGGCCTTTCCTTCTTTGTTTTTTATTGAATTTGTCTCCCTGATATCGTAAACAAAACTTTCGGACCCAGATGTAGTCACTGACCACCCATCTGTCTTGCAATTTCAGCATAGGAAGACCACTTTCTCCTAACACAATAATAATACATCTCTTCCTAGGTGTCCAACCTACTCTTTATTTGATGTCGTTGCTTCTTGACTAAATATAAAATTTTACAAAAATTCCTACTTGTAATTACAGTGGTATAAAACAAGTCCTCCTTCTACAGAACAAAGCAAATAATGAACTGTTTCAGTGTAAACACGATGTCAGCTTCTATTGGCAGTTCTAACATTTGATTGTTTCTCAGACAAGAACAGTGATTGGCCAGGAAACTAGACATTACAAAGCACTTCATAACTGGTTTTTTTATTTATATTAAAGTACATATACTTTTGCATCCAAATAATTGAATTTTGTGTTTGATTGAATTCAGTAGTAAATTCTCTTTAAAATGATATATACAAGTTTGCATTTTGCGAAACGTACATTTTCTATAAAGCTACAAATTCAAAACATAAATTCCAAAAGTTGCCACATTTTGGCCACCACTGTATGTATGTTTTTCGCTTGTGATAAAACAACGGTACCTAGAGCCATCCAATTCTGAATGCCGTAATCCTTCTGAAAATATGGACATTTGAAAGCCCAAATTTTAAATTTGGAATTTGTTTTATTATCGATTTCATATTTTGTAAACTTTTAACGAATTTTTTATTAACAAACTCAATTATTTAAAAGCGTGCAATGGCAACACTCTACGCGGAGAAAAAAGACCTTTTTATCTCCAGCGCGCGGAAGTGTGTATCCGAAATTCTAAAGATATGCTCATTTTAAAGTTATTTTGCGGCATTGCTGTTGAACTAAATTTTATGGTTTAAGTGCGAAGAACATGATAGTTAATAAATAAAGGTAACACACAAAACGTTAAAAAAAACGCTCCTTTGGACGCAATTTAAAATTTTTGATTTTTTTATTGTTTTAATTTGTTTATTTATCCTTGTAATTGCGTGTAATAAATTTACCTAAACTGCTTCATTTCAAGATTAATCGTTATGATATATGTGTAACGTCTATCCGACCCAGTTTCCCTTGTAAAGTCCTCCAGGAAGGCATCCCTACTCTTAGGCAGATGGTCCTCCAGGCTGTGCCATAATCGCACACACAAACGCTATAGTATCTGGAATATCAAGTGATTTTTGTGATTCTTCAAAAGTTCTCGACTGCCAAAATATGACATATATATAATATATATATTATTTTTATATGCTGTTATTAAATATTTAACTATATAATAGATTAAATTAATAATATTTTCTTTTTTATGTCATTGTTTTCTAAAGTCTCCGTCAGGTTATAGCATATTTTTTGTAAATATGTTCTTTTTGATCGCGTCGAAAATCAATTAATTCCTTATATATAGATATATATATATATTGTTCTAACTTAAGGTTTTAGTAGTTTTAATACACTCATCTTAAGAACTATTTTAACATTTCCTATTTTAATTTGTAATAATTTTACAACTCCTTTCCTAGGAGATAATCATAAATAGAAAACTTAATAATTGAATATATATATGTATACAAGCGCATCTAACTCCAAATTTTACAAACATTGTTGAAATACAAATCAGTACAAGACTTTCGCTTCCCTTTTCTAAATAAAAATAGTCTTTCCGTAACCGTATAGCAAATCCAAATCTTGATTGAGCTCCTAATAATTTCGATCCCTGTTCTTCTTTTGACGCCACATAAAATTGCTGATAATTTACTTACATGCATAATTAAAAAAAAATTTAAATGATGTAAGAAGGTAATATAGTGTAAATCACTGTATTTCTATTAGCTTTACCCAATTACCTATTACAAAATAGTTAATATGTTAGACTCAATCTGCGGAACGCTCGAATTCATGCGTATAATGTCATTAAAGGTCTCAATATTTTTCATTTACGAATTTTCTTAGAAATGAATTTAGATGAAAAAATAAATAGAATCAAAGCTATCTAAACCATCCTAAATAGATAAAAGATAATTATATATATTAATGCGATATTAATAACTTAAATCAGTTCATCTTCCGTGGTAACACGGCCTATCTAAGAAGTAATGGATTCAGCCTTATATGTAGACGTTATATGTAGACGTTATTATTAATAACGTAAATTAGTTCCTCTAACGTCGTAACATTCTCTACCTCAAGAAGTAATGGATTCAACCATATGCTGACGTCATTATTTCCAGTAGGAAAATAATTTATGGATGAGAATAAAAAGTGAATCTTTAATCAAAAATGAAAATGTTTTTTCAGATCGTTATGTAATTTTCTCCTCAAATCAGCCAGCTTTCTACCCCCCTTTTTTACGCTGCTTTTCATTCTGTAAAATTATTAAGCAAACGACTTTTTTTATTATTTTAAGCTATTCTCCTTTTACCGTTGGCATCCTTAAGCTTGCTTTTAATCACGTCATGGTGAAAACCAATCATATGCTAGCTATTCAAAGAACGTTAGTTGTAATCGTTGGAAGTGTATGTTTCCGAAATTTTCTGTTGCATCTGGTGTTAACTGTGGTAGAAGATTTGTTTTGATTGTAATTTATCTTTGCATTGTATAAGTAACAGTGAACAGAGGTAACATGTCTGTCGTGGGATTTGATGTAGGTAATGAAAATTCTTACATTGCAACAGCTAGAGCAGGTGGAATAGAAATGATCGAAAATGAATACAGTTTCCGTTCTACGCCAACCTATGTTGCCTTTACCGAACGATCTAGAGAATTCGGTGTAGCTGCTAAGAACAAATTAGTATCCAACCTAGAAAACACCATTTTTGGTTTCAAGAAAATTCTTGGGAGAAAGTTCCACGACCCTGTAACTAGACATGAACTGGCTTATTTACCATTTGAAGTCTGCGAACTGCCATTAGGTGACGTAGGAATCAAGGTAAAGTACTTGAATAAAAATATTGTGTTTTCTGTGCAGCAGGTAATGGCTATGATCCTTGTTAAAATGAAAACTCTTTCTGAAATTAAGTTAGGAATGAAAGTTCGTGACTGTGTTATTTCAGTGCCTGTGTATTATACGGATGTTGAACGACGTGCTATGCTTAATGCAGCTGAAATCGCAGGATTAAACACATTAAGGTTAATGAATGAATCAACAGCAGTTGCTCTTGCTTATGGCTTCTATAAACAAGACTTATCTAATGTGTCAAAGAATGTAATTTTTGTTGACTTGGGAAATTCAGCATTGACAGTGACCGCCTGTGCATTTAGCAAGGAGAAGCTTAGAATTTTGGGTTGTGTGTGGGATAGAAATATTGGTGGAAGAGATTTTGATAATGTTCTTGTGAAGTACTTTGTTGAAGATTTTAAAACTCGATATAATTTGGATGTTATGTCCTCAAAACGAGCAGTAATGACTCTGATGTTAGAATGCGAAGCACTGAAAAAACAAATGAGTGCAAACCCCTTAGAGTTGGGAATCAACATTGAATGTTTCATGAGTGACATTGATGTAAGTGGAAGAATGAAAAGGGAAACTTTTGAAAAATTGACCGCCCATCTTCTGCTGGGGATTGAAACAACGTTTAAGAAACTACTAGATGAAATTCAGTTGAAGATAGACGATATAGATTCCGTTCAGATTGTTGGTGGATCTTGTAGATTACCAGCTCTGAAAACGATAATTGCCCGAGTGTTTGGTCAAGAACCTGTTTCCACTCTAAATCAGGACGAAGCTGTGGCTCGAGGATGTGCTTTGCAGTGTGCGCTGTTATCTCCAACCTTAAAGACAAGGAACTTCGCTATTGATGACGTACAGCCATATCCCATAAAAATATCATGGAAGTCAGAAACAGTGGGGGGAGATGGATTTGAAATATTTCCACGTTTCCACAAATTTCCTGCCTCTAAAATGTTGACATTCGCCATTAACAGACAGTTTTCAATTGATGCGTATTACGATGAACCAGGAATTTCTGCAAGTTTACCGCAAATTGGCCAATTTATAATTAAAGATGTACCATCTACTAAAAATATGGAAAATGCTCGCATAAAAGTCAGACTTGGTTTGAATATTCATGGGATATTTTTTGTTAATAGTGCATCGTTGATTGGGAAACTTAAACCATGCGATTGCTCTGAAAGTGATGCAGAACAGCCGTTTTGTGAAGTCTCTGAAAAATCAGATACTTCAGTTACGGAGGATATTGAAAAATTGTCTTGCGAGGTGAAAGCCGAAGGAGAAGAAATTGAAGCAAAATCTAAATCAGTTGCATCGTATGATTTAGTAATTAGCCCTACATGTTTGCTTAGCTTTGAGCTTAATGACCTAATTAAGAAGGAACAGCAAATGATAAATATTGATTTGCAAGAAAAAGAAAAAGCTGATGCAAGAAATGTCCTAGAAGAGTATATGTACGATATGAGAGGTAAATTAAAAGATGAGTTATCTGAGTACGTATTGGAAGAGCAAAGAAACAAATTACTTGCATTTTTAAATGAAGTAGAGAACTGGTTGTATGAAACTGAAGATCGACAGACTGCAGAGTATTCTTCAAGATTAAGTGAATTAAGAAAATGTTTCGACCCTATATTCACGAAATTTCTCGATTGGCAACAGAGACCATTAGTGATCAAAACGTTCGTGGATATGTTGTCGTCATCGGATGGAACCTTAAGTTTACTATCAACTGGCAAAGCTCAGCCAGGCTCTGAAAGCGAAGATATAAAATCGCTCCGTGATATGTGGCAGGAAAAGAAAGAATTTCTGGATAGATGCCTTACTATTTTTGAAAATTTGCAAAAGCATGCCGATATTCCGTATACTGTTGATATGATAAGAAGGCAGATGGTAGAGTTTGAGAATTACTTCAAGAGAATTCTGAATAAATTTAAAAAAGAAGCAGCCGGAGAGACCAATACCACTGAGGGTGGAGGTGATACTAGTATTCAAAATGAGTACGAGAATGATGTAGATATGATAAATAATAATGTTGATATTTCTTCACGCGAGAAGTCTAGGGTGGATGAGAAACAAATGAGTGAAGAGCAATACTAATTCGGTTTCATGGAGTTTGAAGTATAAAATTAACGAAAGGTATAATTATAAAATAATCATTTTATTTGATTGCTTTTTTATATTCAAATTTTCTGCATTTATAGCTATTCGCATTGCATATATATTTTTCTGCTTATTGTTCATAAAATTAGAATGTTTAGTAATGCAGTAACTATTTGATCATCTTATACGCTTTGAACTGATATTATTGTACATTAGAAGTAAAACAAATGTCTATTAATTATGTGCTCAGATTGTATTGCTTTTCGTAGTTTATTAGAGTGTGATTTTAATCTCCATAGTTTCAAAATGCACGATTTAGTTGATTAATTTAAATTATCACCTGCCTACAAATGAAGTAATTTGTTGCAGCATTTATTCTGTAGCTTTTTTAAGATTGCTTTCAGTAAAATTCTTATAATAATATGATATATAATAAAAATAAGTTATAAAGTTTTTTCTGAAGTCCGTAAATACTTTATAGAAAAATTTAGCACTTCTTTGTTAAATGATTTATAAATGAAATTCTCTTCGTATATCAGTTAGAATTTTAATTTTCTATATTTGTATTCTCTTATTGGATGAGTTTTGTTCATGATTCATTTTTTTTTTTTTTTTTTTTTTTTTTTGTGTGTGTGTGTGTGTGTGTGTGTGTGTAATTCTTTAGAATGTAATGTTTGGGTAGAGAGAACTTTATGCAGTACGTAAAATAGTTTTACAAGATAAAGGGTGCTTAACTTGTTTTGTTTAGTTCGGTTATCATATCGGTATATTGCATTATATTTTTTACTCTGGTATACATTAATTTATATAAATTGGCTGTTCCGAGATTTCGATTAATTCACAGCGTAATTTTTTAGAATAATGTGATTTATTTTTGACTTGACATCAGGCATCACTTTATGATCACGTTTGTTCACGATAATTTCCATAACCTTGATTCGCTACTATTCCGTTTTGAGGACCGTAAAAGAATTGCTGCTAAAATGTATGCGCAAAAGCGCCAAATCTAGCAAACGCGCCCATTGAACAGCCCGCCAAATCTAGCATGCGCGCTGATTTCAGATTGTGTAAATTTATATATAGTTCTATATTTCTTAAGACGCCATTGAAATACTAGTTTAATTTTTAAATCCTTTTTTGATTTTTAATTCTTTTTTGATATCCTATGGATTTAATAATTTGGGAATTGCCCATGATGAAAAGTGTGCAGTAGAATTTTGGGTAAAGTGCAGATTCACCCACTGTTTGACGCGTTTTTAAGAATTGCGCATACTCTGCATCCATGTACACATCGACCTATTTTCACTTAAAAAAGAAAAATCCCAGAATTGCACAAAAATGGCACTGCGCACACCGCTGACCTTATCTATGTATACATCGTCCTATTTTCACTTAAAAAGTAAAAGAAAATTGACAAAAATCCAAGATACTATTCCTTTTTGAGGACTGTAAAAAATTGCAGCAAAAATGTTTGCGCAAAAAAGCCAAATCTAGCAAAAGCGCCGGAAGCACTTCCGCAGAGAACCCGGTAAATGTAAACATCGCCAACTTTGGCGATAATAGTTCAAACCTGGTAACCCATCGGATGTATCCTATTCGCTTGTTCGAAGTTTGCAACCATTCCTCATGCGTTCATTTTGTTGAATTATCACTGTCGTTGTTCGCATTTGCAGATTTATATTATTCTTCTCTTACTTTATATTATTTTTTCTGAATTTTTAACAACGATAGATAGAATATTTTTGTAGATATATGTTAGATATTTTCTAACAATAACCTTTCAGAGGATGGGCAGGTGTGACATAAATAGATGATTAAATTGAAATAAAAAATATTATGATTATCTAAGATGACAGAATAGTTCGGTGCATCACCATGGTCATCAAAATTTGCAAACCACTGCTAGTGAAGGAATATATTGTTTCTTGTGTTAACTGGAATTTAAGACAATTTTTTTTCGTATATCTTAACGGTTAATTTCAGTATATTACTAATAATTTATATTTTTATGAATTTTTATTCCGTACAAATCCTTATATTGTCTTATGCTAATATATTCTGTGCTAACTTGAATTTAATACAAATTTATTTTCGTATATCACGGTTAATAGGCTAGTTTTACCCTACTGCTTATTATCTGTGAATTTTTCCTACCATATGCTTAATATATTGTTTTGTCTGCTAATTTGAATTTACATGCACTAAAAATCACGTTTACGGCTCGGCTCGGCTCATCGTCGATGTACGGCGAGCTTGGCGAGTAAAAATGCAACGGCGCCAACGGGTTCTTTCCCGAAGCGCCAACGGGTTCTCTGCGGATGAAAACCTAAAGCGCCCATTTAACAGTGCACTAAATCTAGCGTACGCGCTGATTTCAGATTGCCTAAGTTTATATAGTTCTATATTTCTTAAAACGCCATTGGAATACTAATTTACCTTTTAAATCCTTTTTTTAATATACTATGGATTTAACAATTTGGGAATTGCCCATGATGAACAGTCTGCAATAGAATTTTAGGTAAAGTGCAGAATTACCTACTGCTTGATGCGTTTTTAAGAATTGCACGTACTCGGTATCCATGTGCACATCGACCTATTTTTACTTAAAAAAAAAGTCCAAGAATTGCACAAGAATGGCACTGCGCTGGCTTTATCTATGTACACATCGACCTATTTTCACTTAAAAAGTAAAAGAAAATTGACAAAAATCCAATTGTTTTTACCCTTTACAAGCAACGAGATGAAATTATTCATTAGCGATACATCGGTAGTGAAATAGCGAGGCAGGCATCCATTCAGTTATGTTTTGCAATTTTTATATAAATTATAATAATGATCTGAAATAGTTATTTACTATTACGCTTCCATTCAGTCATGTTTAGCCTTTTTCATATAATTATAATATAAAAAAGTATTATATGAAATTAACCTTTCATCTAGATTAAAATAACAATCTTAGATAGTTATTTGCTATTACACTTCCTTTCTTGCGTTAGGGTTGCCGCAATTATTTTTGACAGCATTTGCATCAACAATAGTTTGGCGATTTTTTACGGCCCCGAAACCGAATAGTACCAAATCCAATTGCGTTTACCCTAGTAAAAAGCGGCAAAACAAATAAGTGGGCGATTCTGCACTTTACCGAGAATTTTTTCAGAGAAAAGACATCATTCATTATAAAAAATTGGCCCACCAGTGGCCGAACGGTAAAGTCGCTGAACACTGGTAGTTCGGTCCGAGGTTCGAATTCCGCGAACGGGCTGACTGCATGGGCGTTTTCCCCATGTGTAACGTGTATACGAGCCAGTTTCCCTTAGAAAGTCCTCCACGAAAGGCATCTCTCCTCTTATGCAGATAGCCCTAGTGTGCTTTGCCATAATTAAATACACCACCACACCACACCTATTAGGATATTTGATATTTGTATTAAGTTCGTGTTTTTCAACAGCTCAAAATCGTGTGAATCTAGCTCAGGAACTAAATTATTTAATATGCTGCGAATTCTATAGTTTTCATTTCAACTTTGGTTAAAATTTCTGCCAATTTGTTTTGAGAAATCTGAAATTCTTGTTCATAATTTTTCTAATTTTTCATTGTTATGTGTGAGCAAATTAAGTAACGAAATTTAATACTAAATTATTCATAGGAAGGATATTAGATTTTTTTTATGTTTTTGAATTTTGTTGAGAATTTTTGAATACGAATTTTAAACTTTCTAAAATGAAGTTGGTGTAAAAAATAAGTGAATTATTACAGATAAGTAATATGAAATTATGGTAAATGCATGTTAAAATTTATGGGTTATTGTTGTTAAGTATAGTATGATGAGGGTGTACTGGTTCCTTCAATAGAGGCCTGTAATTACCTCTGTACAGTTGTTTTCCTTTTACCCTCTTCATGCAAGATAATGTTGGAGGCTCTCATTTTATGAATGCATGTAAATTTTTTATATTATTATTATTTTTTTTATTATGGAATGATTAATGCAGTTCTCAAAGGCCGTTACCTTAATGCAAGGAATGGAGGCCTTTTCAAGTAACTGTCTAGGCACCCTGGGCCACCAGTGCAGAGACACACTGGTTAGCTGAAGAGGACACGCCCTATTGATGGATATGTTTGTTTAGAAGTTTGTGAGGCTTCCCTTTGGTAAAAATCAGGAATTGTAATGAAAGATAACGGGAAACCATAAATTCTGAAATTCTTAATCCTACCTATATTTATGATGTTAAATTATAATTTATCAGTATGTAAATAAGTATCATAAATTTTATGTGCATTACATTTAATTATATGTAATGATATGTAAAAGTTTATTTTGTAATATTCTGTAATCACAATAACCTTCCTGAAGAATTATGATTATGTGAATTCTCAAACAAAAGACTTTGGACTGAAATGCTGAAAAATTCAATAGGACTCTAAAAATTAAAATTTATTTAAAAAAAATTGATATTTATAAATTATACTTTACAGGACAAAAATTTTATGATTTATTTATTTTTTTATGTTTTTCATTGCTAGTGCTTTTTTTTCTCTATAAAAGGCTCTGTCTACACCTTTTTTCTTTTTTAAGGGGGAAATATGTAAGATAAAAATATATGAATCAATATAGATTAAACTATAATCATTAATTCTCCTCTCTATTCTAAAATCGTAATAATTTTTTGCATTGCGTCATTTCTAGACACTCTATGATCGGCGCAACTCTGATGACGTATAATTAAACTGAAACTGACCTTGTAAACCAAACTTTTCTCTTCGCGTGCTTCCATCTTTCATACTAGCACTTCAGTTTTTGCCCTCGCTTGCTAGATAAATTTCGCTGGCTTGCTTTCTATCTCAACAATATCAAAAATGAAATCTTCTGTGGAAGGCACGACTAGTGCCAAGTGTTGTGGCCACAATATCAATTGGAATAAAAATGGAATAAACGCCTCGACTGCCAATTTTAAATACTACGCAATAAAAATTCTTCTTCAATATGGGTCTAATCACGCATCTACAGTGTTCCGTCATTTACTTTGCTTTTATTACGACATATATATATATCTAAAGAACATTTGGAACGAAATCTCAATATGCTACACATATTTAAACCTTCCCTTGAATATTTAATAAGTCTATAATTGGCTGTGGTGAGTAAATACAGAGAGGATTGGAAATTGGACCTGATTTTGAAGGGAACTGAATTGATTTCAGAATAGTTTCCAGTATTTATTGCTAGTGTTTGCATTCTTTTTCATCGGTGTAATGTTATTGAGTACTTCCGAATGCATTCATAATTTCCTTAATTTCACTGAAAATAAGCTTGATATGAAAGCTTGAAGCTGCTGAAATGAAAATAAGCTTTAGTTGCTGAACTGAAAGGAATTTGAAATTTCGCTAAATACCTTGCTTTTATAACCGAAACTTCATTATCCTAAACCTTTATTTACATTGCCTTACATAAATCT